ATTCTATGTCTTTCTCTTATACATACACGCGCGCACACACGCACACGCGCGCGCGCGCGCGCGCGCGCACAAACACACACACACAGAAAGAGAGAAAGAGAAACGCGCGCGCGTGTGTATTTGTGTTTTATCTTTATCTAATTTTTATTACGTACCTGTTACAATTAGCATTATCATCATAGATCTTATAGTACAGGATACGCCTTTTCTTTTAGATGGAAAGAGACAGTAAATGTATCATATTTTCTATCCTTTAGTTTCTAAAAGTACATGATAAAGAAGGAGTATAAGATATTACTCTCTCACTCTATCATATAGAAACAGAATATTATTCTCTCGCTCTATCAACTTGGACCTCAATTTTAATCAGAAAGAATATCCAGTACCATAAGATTTATAATTATCATTAATACGAATATATGATACATATATTCAAACACTCTTGCTGACTCTGTGAGGAGTAGCAAAAATCAGCGTAAGGGTCAGTCAGGAGACGACACACTAATCGTCTGAAAGTACGCAATATTGCGTCCTCTAAAAGTGAACATAAGGATCACAACGATGTGTATAACTTTGTCGAAATTTACACCATGATTGTCCCCTCCTACCGAAAGTGTAACAAAATCTTGGTCAAAAAGGGACTAACGCATTGTCTTACTGTTGTGTGCTGACACTGAATACATCATACGATGAAAATCCTTCGCCATTTTGAAATGAAAAAAACCGAAGTATAAATATATACATATAAAATCATTTGGAATTCGCTAATCGCCACGTTGTAGTAATGTTGTTATTAATTGTTATTATTATTAAAAAAAAAAGAGTAAAATTGCGTGGTTAACTTTGCATTCTCTTTTTTTCGATTTCTTTTTTCTTTTTCCACCATTTTGTCATTTCAGTCACAACTAATAAAATGAATTACATTACGTCAAGAATGCTTTCATGAATCACTTCGTTTCACTAACAAGAATTTTTTGCGTGTAATATGTGGACAATCGACGTAAATTAAGAGCTAACAATCAGGCAGCATGATACCATATTTCGACCTAGAACAGAAAAAATAAAAAGTAATTTAATATTAATATAATAATTATATTAAAAAATATTTATCTTTTTAATATTCCTCAAGTAACAATGTTTTATAAATTACAAGATTTTAAAAGAATTGTGGAAAAAGAGGGAAAAAGAATTAAAAAGGAGAAAGGATGAAAGGATTGAGGAGACTGAGAGGAAGGAGAAATAAAATACGAAATAGATAGTAAATAAGTAGCAGGAGTATATAAGTGATAAATCAAAGAAATTACGGAGTGTAATCAACTAACAGGGTATATGAATTATAAAATTAGTAGATAATTAGGTATAAGTAGATTTATGTATATATTATATGTAAATTATATAAATTCTATAGATAAGACAGCATGTATGTATAAATGTGAAAGATATGATGGCTGAAAACGGTTTTTTAAGTGTTTTTAAAAAGTGTAAATCAAGTCCTCTTCTTGGCTTTTTGCAGCTGAAGTAAATAAAATATTCTATTCTACTTTTTAAATTAACAAATCTTTATCATTTGTATAATTTTGATTTTAGATTTTGCTGGAACAAAACTTCAACAGTAAACTCAAATAGTATTTATGATATGATTATGATTTTATATTAGAAATAAAAAAATATAAATATAGGTATTTAATTAACAATTTAATTAATAAATTTTGTCAAAGAAAAATCAACTTCAATTGCTCAGAGACTTTATTTAATGTTGCACATCTTAGTATAAGGAGATTAAATTCAAGAATACAAGTGTTAGCATTCTATAATAATTGTGTATGTTAGCATTCCATAATAACCTTTGTTGCTAATTATGTGCTTATTTACTTACGTGTCTTTGAAACGTAACAATTAATAGGCGCTTATCCTGCTTGACCGAGTAATATCTGTATTATTTATTTTCTGTTTGAACATTTTGATTTTTATATTTACATTTAATTTGTTAATTATTATTTTATTAATTATATTTCAAAAGTCGCAAAATGGCAAAGGACTTTTCATTATAACTTTATGCTTTATTTGCCCACCAAGAAATTACTAATTTTATGTGATACTCTATATATTTTATATATATCTCTATAAAAAAATGAAAATAATATTCTTACCAGCTCAGGGGCGGGTTCGCGTCATAGATGTATTAGTGGCAGGAACTGGGTTGTTGGAGGTAGCTGCAAGAGCATTACGTTCGAGAGTGTTACGTCGTTCTATCTCCAATTCAGCCAGTTTCTTCCACATCTCGTCTCTTTCTTTTTCCTTCCTTTTCTCTCTATAATTTAGACACACATATGTAAAGGAAGAATGTAAATAATTTTTTTTATGTATATACAATTTTAGATAGATTTCACTAGATTTTTAATGTAGTATTAAGGCTCGGTTCTTTCGCGGCGCGACATGGGTTGTATGACGTCAGAGGAGAGAAATGACATGTAAAAACTTTCCTGCGTATAGCTTTGTATAGCTTTATTTTGTACTTTTCCCTTAAAAAGATGATATTTTTATATTCTTAAAACTTATAAAAAATATCAGAAAGTAAAATATCTGTCCAATAAATTTATGTAAAAGTGTAAAATAATTCTTGAAGTAATGATATACTGCTTAGCTATCAGAAATCATCAGATCACTCGATTTAGTTGTTTCTGATAGCTAAACAGTGACCATTATTTCAAGAATTACAATACAATGAATTTTACAGATTAGCAAAAAATGTTACAATTTTACAAATTTTACAAAAATATAAAAAATTTCAAAATTTTACTTTTGCCTTTCTGACTTATAGTTGGCAGTAAGTTCATCAAAGAGCTTGCTGTTCATTTCCATAAATGTTTTTAAAACATTATAAACAAGAGCTACAATCGTCTGGTTCCAATGTTCCTTGCTAATTCTGTACAACGCTGGGAACATAATTGTCATTATTACTTGGTTGTTTTCTTCAATTAAAGACATTATATATTCATTATTCCAAAAGTATAATGCTCTCTCCGCGACCTGAAATAAAAATTCCATTATCTCATGATTCCAATCAATTTCTTAGAATTAATAGTAAAGGTGTTAGAATTAGTGCAAAATATATTATATAAATTACCTGAAAGTGTGGTGAAGATACGCAACGTGCGACTTGCCTGAATAAAGGTTCTTGTATTTTAACAAATTGGCTAGGTTCTATAACATCCAATATTTCCTCTATTTCACCGAGGAACATCACCTCCTTCTGGCTGCACGTTTTAGGCCAGAACTTAAGGAGGCCTCGTACAACTGGTTCTGTTAAAGTTGCATCCTTTTCCAAAAATTGCACCACACAATAAGCTAACTGCGCGTGATATAGTGATAAACATTTTACTTTATGTAATGGTAACAGCACCTAAAGAAATCAACACAAAAACGCTTACTTAATATTTTTTCATTTTTCTTTTTTTTATTTCAGACTTTAAATTCCTTCCTAAAATATTAAATATTTTTAAGTATTTTTAATTTTTATGTTTTATAATATTAACGATGTATAAAATAAATTAAATAAAGGTCTGAATATGTATTTTTCAATATTTTCGAAAAATTTTCAAAATTATTAAAAAATATATATCTTACAAATATAAATTACGCTAAGAGCTATATTTGATTTCAATTTTGCTTTTTTCAAAATTAAATCAAACTTAAGTGAATTGTAAATTCGTAAATTATAAGTTATAATTTTAAAAATTAAGTAGGAGAACATAATATGTAAGAAATAAAACAAATTATTTCAAAACGCACACAAAATTTGAATTAAATTTAGATATATTTCAACTTTTAATAGAATATGTTATAATCGTACCTTAACTAAAAATTGCTTATGCTCAACTTTTAAAGGAAGTGCAAATCCATTAATAATGCTACCCAAAATTTCAAGAAGTTCGCCAACTCCGTTAAAATGTTCCGTTTCATAAACAAACCTAAAAATTATAATGAGATTATGTTACATAATTATCAGGATATAAATTTAAAATAAATTGATATTATTAATAAATGATTTAATATAGAAATGGAAAAATAACATTTGTACATTCAAAAAGATACCTCAAAAAAATGTTGTTTATTTGTTTGCGTATGAAGGCTCTAAGACCCAGAAATTTGCCATAAATACGATGCAAAACAGTTTTCAAGAAATCTCTTTCCCTCGGGTCTTCCGAATCAAATAAGTCCAATAACTATAACGTATAATTACAATAATTTATACTAAATATTTATATTCAATAATTTAATTATAAAAAATACATACATAAAAAATACATATTAAAGAGAGATTGAAAAATGACAATGTAATACGACGTTCTCTACCTGTAACACGAATTTTTGGTCAATAACTTTTTTTCCAATAGCAGGTTGAAAATCTGAAGATTCGAGAAAACGGAGGAAGACTTCATAAACCAACTGAAGATGAGGCCAACTTGCCTCCAAAGTCGGATCATCCTCTTCTGGATCAAAATCTGGATTTTCACTAGGTGGCAATGTACGGAATAAATTTGCAGAAACCTTTAACACCAAATACAAAAAAATTTTAAATAATTTAAAACTACATTAACATAACATAACATTAAATAAATTCATGAATTCTATTTATTATATTCATTATGAAATACATATATAATTAAATACATATTTAATTCCAATAATAATTTAATAATTGTAGCAAGTACTGTAGTAAATATGATACATTTTTACATCTTATTTATTGCATTTATAAATTGCATTTATAAACACATTAAACATAAGTCAATAAATTAGTATATTAAATCTAAAGTGTTTTTATCTTTTTTAAAAAGAATAATTTTTGTCTGAATAATGTTCTAATAATGTACTGAGCAAGCAAGAACTATAATTCGAAGAATATACGAAAATTTCGAGAATTATTAACAAGAATAAATGAGAATGAAATTTTATGCTGCAGTTTGGTAATTTTCTTGCACTTTGTAGTAATTTTTATATTAATTACCATCTTGATAGTTTCCGGATAAATGGGCTCGGTAAGGACACCTCTCCCTGCTGTAATATATTCCACCAATTCATTGAGCGTACTCCGCTTAATTTCCTTGCCTTTGAGATCAGCCATTGGATCCATGAAATCGAATGCTACGCAACATTGGCGCAGCTTTTTGATAAATAATTCTTCCTGTTCTGCAGCGTTAACATCTGTAAAAAACAAATAATATTAATTTAAATTTCAAAAATCCGGACAATTTTTTATTGTAAGAAACTAATTTTCAGAATTAGACAGATCTCAATATATCCTTATTTATAATTCTTTCATTATAAATAATTCATTATTCATTATATATGTAAAATGATATGTATCAAAAAGCAAAGTGCTCGATAATTGCTATTTTTAACTCTTCATTGCGTGAACAAGAGCCCAATAAAATGTTATCATTTCCTTTACTTCTGTAAATGTATAAGCAAACAATTTAATTGAGTCGATAGAAACTAGAATCACATAAGTCACACGAGTCACGAGAGACCAGAATGATCAAATGCAACCTTCAATTGTAAACTTTTTCGTTGTCTCTATCATTTCAATTCAGCTCGGATATTCACTTGAAATTAAATAAGATAAAATTTTGTTATTCCCTATATAACTAAAATTCATCATTCATGAAAAAAGGAAAACTTTGTAGCAAAAATATTTTTGTCTTTGCCAACTTTTTGCTAAAGAGGAACTAATCGAAATTGATTAAAAAATTCGCTATTTTTAAGGATAGGAAGAATTCGCTTAAATTCCAATTAATTTAATCAATGATTAATTTATTAAACGGTCACTAGACAATTTTGCTAATATAAATAAAACTAATAAAAATTTGTTATTTAACAAAAACTTGCTTACAATACGAAAAAGATTAAATTAAAAACGATGAAATTACACAATTACAAATTTTGCTTAAGCGAATTTGCTGATTGAATCAATTGAAACTTAACCAGATTTGCCTTTACATCGTATATTTTAAAAAATCAATTTTTTGATGAGTGAGCGACTATATATCGGTAATCGGTATATCTATGTGAAATTAATCAATTATTAACCTTTTCGATATTCTGCGGAAAACTAAATTTAATCGGAAGCACATTTTCTATTATTTAACTTGTCCTATCCGATAAGAAGATAAAACAAATTCATACGTTTTATACACTCATAATAATTTGTTATTTATATAAATTTCATTAGGTACCTCTTATCTAATTGTAAGTTATCACGTTCCTCCGTTTGAAAGCATAATGAAAAAACTTTGGAGGGAAAGAGGTTATATTTCACGATACGCCGTGAAGATAGGTTATACGCAATGTTTGTCGTTATCTATATAAAATTATCTTTTATAGATAATGATCTAAATGAAGAAATGGCTTTCGTTTTACCTTTATCTAGATGATTACGACATATTATCTTCATCTTTATCTTGCTAGATAAAATAACTGTTTTCTTTTGCAAATTATTTAAGTTACGTAATTTGAAATAGATCAAATGCATACTTTAGATAAAAATGAACGAGTTTGCGAGTCATATAACTGACATTAATTGATGCCAGGTAAGTAATTACGAAATTTTTATATAAGTATGAATCCCACCAAGTTTTAGATTTAGCTTGTATCAAATATTTTTCAACGAACAAATTATTCAAAAGAGTAATCGCACTGGCATATGATCAAATGATATAAATCATTTGTTGTATCTTATGTCTCGTTTAAAATTAATTATATAAATGATGTATAATTTTATAATTTTAATATCTTTCATCTAGATAAATGCAAATTTAAATCATCTTTATCTTATATAAGATAAGTTTAAAGATAAATTTAAATTTATCTTATCTTCATCTAGTTGATTTTAAAATCATTTAATACGCAAATCATCTAAGCGCACTGATTATACATACATGTTTGTCGGTCACAAGCAGCCAGCTTCACAAGTGCTCAGGATTAGAATTGAGTTCTTTTTTCTATTGCATGTCGATTAACGCTTATCATACTCGACTGATAATCATATATCGTAACCGATATTGAATACTTCTAGCTTGTATAACACCTCTCTCTTCCTCAAATTATGAATTAACAAAATGCACAAACTTAAGCATAAATAAGAAAATATTTATTCGAGGAAGAATGGAAATATCTTGCACTTGTAATAATTTGTATACACACACGATATTTTGTTATGCGGGATATTTCAACTACTCAAAATACAAAAGATGCAAAAATGAAATGGGTAGGAGCAATTATCTTCATATGAACGAACTCATTCAAATCTGGTATGTATATGAAGCTGTCTCATGACATGATGTCTCATGTCTTGTGGAAACTCAAAAATTTGTGAGAGTTTTGGCGTTTTCCGTTTTAGTTCTAGAGTTTCCTGATAAATGAAGTAAATAGAAATGAAGTAAATAGAATTCCAGACACTAGCAATATACGATTTCTAAATAATATAAATACATATACGCGATATTTATCTAAAAATCATACACGATCGCTCGAGTGCCCAGAAAATGTGTTTTTAAAATGTGTTTTAGTATGTTGAGAATTACACGAAAAGTATATTTATTAAATCAGAACTCCGAGATTCCAAATGGCGTCTCATACTTTTCTGTCTAAATACGTGACGCTTGCTCGGTATTTATTTGAAAATCGTACATTATGGCCAGTTGCTCCAAACTCTTTAGAAAATGCTTTAATATACTCGGAATACGATTTAAATGTATCTGTTAAATCGGACCTCCGAGTTACTGGTCTGTGTTTCAGCTCGGTCTATTATTACATTGATAATTCTTCTTGATATTTATATTTAAATAATTTTTTTGCTTTTATTTGCACAACTCTTTATAGAACTCTTATAGAAACGTAAATCTTCCGAAATCTTGTATTGGTGGACGTCGGAATTCGTTTAGGACAGAATGAGACACGGGGTGAATCTGGTGTCTCACTTTGTCCGAATCAATTTTTCGCTTTAATGAGCAGAACTATTTGCTTAATCTGTCAGGAACTCTAAAATTATTAAAACGAAAGCGAGTTTTCACAAAATAAGATACCAGCTTCACACACACACACACACACACACACGCGCGCGCACGCGCAAATCTGATTAATTAAATTTTATCTACCTATCAAAGCATAAGTTAAGGAATTTCTGTCGTAATAAAACGAGATTTTTTTAATAACTTGTAAAGCCATCAGAATCTGTTATATCAGAAAAGATATCCCGCAATATGATAAATCGCAAGTAAAAGGCTTAACACAAATACAGGACATCCTGTATACAGTCAAAGCGTAACACACATCAGCTAATCAATTTTTCCCATGTGCTTCACTTTGCTCCGGGGATAATAGCGTGGTTGCAACGTCCCGTGGCAATTTCGCTCTTCATAATGGCACATGGCATGGCCTCAATGACTTTATCAAATTATGCCAAACTCTCTCTCTCTCTCTCTCTCCTCCCTCCTTCTACTCTCCCCTTTTCTCCCTACTTCCCTTTCGTAACAGGTTGCTATCCTATGTGAGGTATCGTAGGTAAATCGAAGAATAAAACGGCCATCCTAGAGAAAAATTGGTAATAATCTCCGCGTTATCCGTAAAGATTTTTTTCGAATGTCGAAACGCGATGTAAACTAAAGAAAAAGCTCAAGGAAGAAGAACAGATCGCCACATTCTGATTGCAAATATTTGCTGTCGTTATTCTTGAATGGCGACATTCGAAATCGCTGGTCGAAATAACGCCTGTGGTAACACAAGCTTGTAACACGTCCAAGACATATTTAGACGATTGTCGTCGTCAGATCGCAACTGCAGCGGTTTTATTATCGTCATCACACAGAGACGTACGTGTATTTTTCTTCTTCAACTAACCTTTACACAATCTAATTGTTTTATTTATTATTGGAAGAAAAACGCAGTCATTGAGCGGAAGATAGAGACAAGAAATGCAGGAAACAAAGACAAAAATGAGGAATGAAACAGAAGTCTGTAAGACTGACGTAATGTAGCCATAGATTCTATCACACGCAAATTTACGATAATCCACAAATAGCAGAGTTAGAATTAAGTATTGCTATTTATGCAACAATAGACGGTAGGGCAAGCTGCATCACACTCCAGGTTATAACGAGGTGAAGGTGTAATTAATTTTTCATCCCGGCTTTGTTGGTTTAATCGATGCCGGACACACGATCCCACCACCGAGAAATCTTGCGATTTCTTTCGATAAGAGGGAAGTAAGCAAACAAGTTGCACGAACGGTTGAACGACCTTAATATGATTTCATTAAATCTGTAGTAAAAAGGCACAGATAAGCGAGAGAGAGAGAGAGAGAGAGAGAGAGAGAGAGAGAGAGAGAGAGAGAGAGAGAGAGAGAGAATAGAGGTGCAACGGGAATCGACCTGCTGTGACGTGTCGCGTCACAGCGCGAAGGATTCCAAAAATAGAGTTACGCACTGGGCATCTCACGCTCTCGTTCGTTCATTTGTCCGTTCTTCCTCGACGTTACGTGCGCGCACGATCCATCTAGCATGCACATATTTATAATTTCATTCATAATGACACGTACTCTCGCGTATGTTCTGCGTTGCGGCTCGCCACTACACAGCGTACGAGATCTGCTTAGGAAAATAAATATATTATCCACTTGAGATATTCTGCGATCAGTGTTTGCCGTTATTCTATATGAAATTATCTAAATAATTATCTACTACTAGTAGATGAAATGCTACTTTATGTTATCCTTATTTAGATGATTAAAATATATATTATCTTTAACCTTATATTAGATAAAGTGTTATCTTATGCAAATTTTCTTAATTGCGCAATTTGAAGTAGATTTGATCTAATCCACACTTCGAATAAGAAGGAACGTTTACGAGTCATACAACACACTTGTTTTTATATTCCATGTCTTGTTTAATAACGATATTATCTTAAAATATTATCTAGATAAATTATATATAATTTTATCTTTTATTTAAATTTAGATTTAAATCTTTATTTTATGTAAGATAAATATAGTTGAAATAATTTATTTTATTTTTTCTACATGATTTTAAGTTATCTAAGAACAACACTGCCTACAATGTTCTATATTTTAATATTGTTATTTCAATCAGATAAATCTGTTTAAGAGATTTAAATTTGGATTAAAATAATTGTTAAACAAATCGAAA